TTCTTGTACTTTGGGAAAGCAATGTTGAATTGTTCTCTGCCATCTTGCAGTGTTGCCTGCTCCCTGTCACCGTTTTTGTTGAAATGCAGGATTGCAATCTGCAACCTAAAAAGATAGATATTTTTGCTTTTGTTTTACCTTCCATTCAATATGACATAAATTCAGAGTGGTTTTTTGGCAACCTGAAAATGTCACATTTGTAACCAAGATTAGTGTGCATTATGATGTTATGATATGTTCAAGTCTTCATACCTGCTTGTCATTCCATGGTACGAAAAGGCCACCATTTTTGTAGCAAAGTGGTTGTGGACAGAATGGAAGGCCTCCAGAGAAGATGTAGCATGTTGTCCTGAAATTTGCATTAAATCTTTCAAGAGTGACCCCTTTGTCAGCAGCTCTGTGAGATTTTCATAGGGTGGTGTACCTACAAAAAATAAATGATTTCACCTATAGTGATAAGCATCTAATCCCTCCTTACAACTATCAAATATGAATATGCATGTATATATGGGGGCTATTAATGAGACAGGCTTGTTGATATCGAGACTTGAAGAATTTGGAGGTTTTTTTTAACTATGTACCTGGCTTGAGCCATTTTTTCTTTCTTTGTCTCCCATGTAACCTTCCATGAGCACACTTAGGAAACAATGGATTTTCATGTCCAGAATGCTTGTTCATGAGGTGATTTGTTATGGACAGCCATTTTGCCTCCTTGAGGTCAGGGTCATCATCTGTTGACGAGGCACACCAGAACATGTGGTTGACAATGCTCTTCTTCCATTTTTGAACCACAGCACAATCCTTTTTTTTAGCAAGGGCATCAATCTTCTTTCCAGTGAATCCCAGCTTGTAGTGAAGGTGCAGGAATTACATTTCTGTGACACTGTTATTTTCGTACCAATTCTTGATTCAACCATCTGTTCACATTCCGACCGGCAAACTGGCCAGAACCGAAAGAGGTTAAGAAATGAAGACTCTGCCTCTAGGAACAGGTCTTGTTGGTGGGGAGGTGCATTTTGGGGAGACTCCCTGTGAATTAATAGAGTGAATTATTAGTGGGCTTGTTCTCTTGAAATATTCATAGTTTGTTGCTACAGTAGATCACAGTACAATGACTGCATAATGTTGTATAGGGGTTGTGATAGATGGTTCGCTTACTTGTATAAACAATCATCAAAATCGTCAGAACAAGTATCATCATCATCTCCATCAATGTCTTTGGGGTCAGGGACGTATGAAGGGTCATCATTTTGCTCCATTTCTTCTTCATTGTCTGACAACTCCTTGTCACTCTGGACTGGGGTCGAAGTCGTGAAAAATTCTTTGAGAAGGGTGCACTGAGTTTCTTGACTTTTTTGGGCGATGGACGTTTGACAACCTGCAAAGATATTTCAGCACAGAGTTGTTTTTCATCTGACTGGACGACCCGTGTTTATGATATACAAGGAAAATTATCATGGTAGTTTTGTATTTCTATCACGCATTAGTAGAGAAACCAAACTTGCCTGTAGCAGTGCGGCTGCTTCGAAATTGTAGAGAAACGTTTTTCCCTGTATTCCGGGTTTGGGTAGCAACCTCTACAACTGCAGGCAATGTTTCCTCTTCATTTATTTTTAACTCCTCATTGGTCTAGATAGCAGCAGACATGTAAATATTTTAAGGAAAACGACCAATTTTTTAAGTTTGCAAGACA